CAATTGTAAATGGAGATTTGGGAAGCATTAATAAAGGTATCCAAGAGCAACTGGACAAACTCCTAATGCAGAGTCAGTGCCAAAGAAATACAAAAGACTATATGGTGCAGGAATTGTTTGCAAAACTTACTAAGAGGCTGGGCAGGTCTGCTGTCCATTAACATCTTTGAGTTCCATCTGATTTTAGTATTGTAGTTACTCAATGGGTTGTGATAGGAGTTGTCCAGCATGGATCCCCTCACAACCTCTCATGGATCCCTGTAACATTTACCATATGAAACACTGACATTTGTGGAGATGCACTAATGCAAAATCCATGTACTCCAAGTAACTTTTCACTCTTTGTGGTTGCAAACTGCTTGGTACATGCAAACAGGGCGTACTATTGATGTCTATTTGATTATTTGTAAAGTAAGTTAAACCCCAGCAGCAGGTACTTTCAGTGAAGTCGTCATCAGTCAGAAAAACAATGTTGGTTTGTTTAGCGTGGTTTTTCAGTCAATAAAATGTTGTGGCTACTACTATAACTACTGTTAGTTAGTGTGTGTTTGTCTATATGTACCTTCACAAGTTTTGGTCCTTGAATGCATTGCTGTGTTTATGTTCTGTATCTCTGTTATTCGCCTAAGTCACTCGAGGTCTTCTCCTCTCTCTAATCCCCAGAATGCACACCTATATTCAGGAGAAGAAGAAACACAGGGGAATTGCTCAACAACACACAGCAGCGATTCTGCTACAGGGGGAAAAAAAACCTTTAAGACTGGGAGTTTTGTGAGGGGGAGTAAAGCTGCAATGATCAGAGTCTCTTATTAGGTGAAAACAGCAAAAAAAAATATCAAATCATGCTGATTCCGATCCGGCAAATAAAAGAGAAAAACATCAAAATGACACAGATTGGAAAAGACAGCAGTAGGATTTTAATGAAATAGTTGAAACAGCTTGCAAAAAACGACACCAAACAGACATGGAAGGGAGCAATCAGGAAAACTCCAAACCGACATTAACATGAAATGCGGTGACATAAGTGAATGTGAATCGTTGAATTGTACAGGTTATATGTCACAATAAAAATTACAAAAACTTAAACGAACGACAATGACTCACAGTGCTCTTTTGTCTCAAAAGCCGTATCTTTTATCAGNGATAGCTTTAATGCCAAGCAAAAACACAGATGGCAGACGCTGCGTCTGTTATGTTCGGACCTGACCTGTGCTGTGCATGTGGTCCCTGGCCAGCTCAAATAGCCGCATGTGCTGATTGGTGATTGGATTAAAAGAGCCGCAGGCTAACAAAACCAGTGGAACGCGGCAGGAGGCCATCCTGGTTGACTCGCTCACACTGTTGGTCTCCGAGTAACCTGAGAGGAAAGCAGAGGAAAGTCTTATTCCAAACTTTTCAGTGAAATTGAGAGGAAGAACTAAAAGGTATTCTTTATTTACAAGTTGTTCTGAGTGAATAAGTTGTACTTAATCACATTAAGATGAACATATTGGCAATCTCATTCATTTTCTGTACAGTTTACAAGTTTAAACAGTGTTGCTATCGGCGTAACTATGACCAACGAGTTCTCGGCTCATTTTAAAGGAGGAGTTTGAAGTAAATAGATTAGTACCTCCATGAGAAATGGCTGAAAGTTGTTTACGTTTTGAAAAGAACTGTTAGCAAAACCAAGCAGATTTAGAAAGTTATGATCTGATGCAACATTTAGAGGTGCAGTGCAACCCCTGAGTTTTTGCTTCATTTTTTTTTTGTCACATAAGTGTTTCAAATCATCCAACGCATATTAAGTTCAAATAAAGATAAATACAAAACCAGCTTTCAAATGTTGTTTGAATCATAAAACATAAGAAAAGAATACTCCACAAACTAACCTGGCCCTTTTTTTAAACAAGTAAAAAATATAATTTAAATAGAATCTGTCAAACAATATGAAGCAGGGGGAAAAGTTCGGAAAAAGCAGCACATAATGCCCATATCTAAGGAAATTTAAAAACGGATCAGAAACAAATCAGGTGACATCTATCAGTAAAAAAAGTTTGGAAGGACATTTTTTTAAACTTTCTGATCACGTGAGACCAATTATTCACAAATGGAGAAAACATGGAAGAGTGTTGAACCTTCTCAGTAGCCAACAAACAAGAATTACTCTAAAGACGGTGGCACTTTGATGATCTGGAACTGCTTTGCTAATTCAGGACTTTGATGACTTAATAATACTGAAATAAAGTGCTTTTCGGTGATACTCCAATGTATTGAGTTTAAGGTGTTAAAGTTATAAAACAACAACACTCTGATAAACACCGATTTGACATTGAGATGCAAGGAAGCAATAAACGGCTTAGCTGATCGAGAGCAGTGCCCTATACGACATTTTAACCATTTAAATACTGTGAAATAAAATACAAAATAACTCTATATTACAACCCACACATCATTTCACATCATTCCAAAAGCCTTCATCGGTTTGTTACCTTCAATTTTCACATTTGGTCGGCGTGTTACTATTATTCCACTCCCCCTGCTCTGTGAAGTAAACGATTAAAGGTTCCGCAGTTTAAAACAGGAAAAAGTGCGACCCCTTGTGGGGAAAAGTTAAACAGCTGTGAAGGAACTGTCCATGGTTCTTAAGTATGGAGCTACAATGAACTAGATACTCACTTTAAAAACACTGTAATTGTGTTGCAATTAGTTTCCTTTACATTTTTACCCCATAAATCAAACTTTTCCCTGTTGTTTTAACATAATTGCTGCAACAATGTAAAATTAATGTGTGTGACATTATAAGTTTGAGCTTTAGAAAAACAATCTGTAGGTGTAATTAATTAATTATCATCATCATCATCATCATCAAACAAGTGTATTTGAGTATATTCAGCTCCTGTTCTTTTGCACAAATGTCAGTTTTCTTGTGCTTATTGGACACATTAGGAGACCATTAATCAAACAAAATATTGGCACCAAAAGAGGTTGTGCCAGAGAATGAATGTAAGCACAAAGGAGAAGTGGTACAAGCAGAGGACTGAGAAACTGGTAGACGATGGGGTTCATGTCCTCATGTGGGGCATGACCATCCCTACAGATCGTACCATCTCTGCAAACGGATCAGACATTGTGGTCCATGACAAGAACAACAAAATATGATGAAGATGACAAAGAACAAAGATGTTGAGAAAGAAGTCACATGTATGTGGGATACAAAAACTTGAGCTACAGCAATTGTAAATGGAGATTTGGGAAGCATTAATAAAGGTATCCAAGAGCAACTGGACAAACTCCTAATGCAGAGTCAGTGCCAAAGAAATACAAAAGACTATATGGTGCAGGAATTGTTTGCAAAACTTACTAAGAGGCTGGGCAGGTCTGCTGTCCATTAACATCTTTGAGTTCCATCTGATTTTAGTATTGTAGTTACTCAATGGGTTGTGATAGGAGTTGTCCAGCATGGATCCCCTCACAACCTCTCATGGATCCCTGTAACATTTACCATATGAAACACTGACATTTGTGGAGATGCACTAATGCAAAATCCATGTACTCCAAGTAACTTTTCACTCTTTGTGGTTGCAAACTGCTTGGTACATGCAAACAGGGCGTACTATTGATGTCTATTTGATTATTTGTAAAGTAAGTTAAACCCCAGCAGCAGGTACTTTCAGTGAAGTCGTCATCAGTCAGAAAAACAATGTTGGTTTGTTTAGCGTGGTTTTTCAGTCAATAAAATGTTGTGGCTACTACTATAACTACTGTTAGTTAGTGTGTGTTTGTCTATATGTACCTTCACAAGTTTTGGTCCTTGAATGCATTGCTGTGTTTATGTTCTGTATCTCTGTTATTCGCCTAAGTCACTCGAGGTCTTCTCCTCTCTCTAATCCCCAGAATGCACACCTATATTCAGGAGAAGAAGAAACACAGGGGAATTGCTCAACAACACACAGCAGCGATTCTGCTACAGGGGGAAAAAAAACCTTTAAGACTGGGAGTTTTGTGAGGGGGAGTAAAGCTGCAATGATCAGAGTCTCTTATTAGGTGAAAACAGCAAAAAAAAATATCAAATCATGCTGATTCCGATCCGGCAAATAAAAGAGAAAAACATCAAAATGACACAGATTGGAAAAGACAGCAGTAGGATTTTAATGAAATAGTTGAAACAGCTTGCAAAAAACGACACCAAACAGACATGGAAGGGAGCAATCAGGAAAACTCCAAACCGACATTAACATGAAATGCGGTGACATAAGTGAATGTGAATCGTTGAATTGTACAGGTTATATGTCACAATAAAAATTACAAAAACTTAAACGAACGACAATGACTCACAGTGCTCTTTTGTCTCAAAAGCCGTATCTTTTATCAGTTTACATTGTAAAAGCCACATTGTAAAAGATGATTTTCTTTTAATAAACTCTGCTTTGTTTCCTTTATGTGCAGGAATAACTGCAAATAAACATTCCTTATTACTTTGACATGTTGACACCTAGTTTGAACATCTTGGCCCCCTCTTCTGTACATGAGTGTATCGATGACTTTGGGTTTCCTTGTCTTAAATCATTGAACCACTATAAACTGTTAATTACAGAGCCGCTTGAAACGGCTCTCACGCGTTTCAAGCGTGAGAGCCGCTTGAAACGCCTCTCATTATCTACATAAATCACTTTTTTTTTAATTTTCCATCGCCTTTTGCTATTTTATTTTTCTATAAACTGTAACGTCAAGCATGCCAAAAAAAAGCCACGATATCGCAACAATTTTATTCTTCAAAATAAAATTGCACAACGTGTGAACTTCAGTTGTGTATGGTTTAAAAGCTAAAAAAAATCTAAATAAATTGAGCTAAATTCCTAATATTTTAGCTTTTGTGTTTATACAGACTTTTATAAAAGTATTTCCTTGATTGAAAGTAACACAATCGCCCAACCTTGCTTTATTTTGAAACGTCATATCCGTAAACCATAGTTAATTGACGCTGCTTAGACGGCGGCACCGCTCTCTCTCTTTCCTCGCGCTACCATTGATAGTCTCTCGACCCTCCAAGATTCCTTCGCGCGACCGTCCAGCTGAGTAGATCCCCGCGCTCGCGAGGTGAGCCAGGATTTGAGGAGAGGAGAGCACGCGAAGACGTTTCACGCTCAGCTCGATAAAACATGCACATCCTCGGCGTCCCGTTTGCGCTGCTTTGGCTTCTCTCCGGCTCTTCCTTCGCTCTCGGTGGGAAAGGTAGGAGCACGAAAATAAAGTAGACGGGGAAAATAAGCTTCGTTGGTTTGGAACAGAAGTCGTCATTTGGAGGCTTGAGTTGCACAAGTTGGAAATTGAAGTGACAGTCGTTGTTATGATTTTCAGATGAGATTAGAATGGGACTCTGGTTAAGTTCTGCTGAATATTCAGTAGTTGTACTTCCCTTTATTGACTTGAGGTTCGTTAAGAAGCCAGCTTCTGGCCCGCAGTTAATGTGGAGCAGGTGCTCAATTCAAGTGAAGGCAGGTTATAGTTGTTTTGAGTGGTTCTTGCCTAGATAATTGCTATTTATTTATCCTTTGGGAAGAATACTGTGGTTATTTTGTGCATCATCATGATGTACCTACTGTATACAAATATGTTGAATGTAGTGTTAGTCCACGTCAGGTAATTTGTAAGGTGCACGTTTGATTTATTTGTTTTAAGCGACAATATTCATAGTTGGTATATAAGCTAAATGTCATTTATTTATTCATTTATTTCAGTTTCAGTTCTTTGACAAAACATGAATTCTTGGTTTTATAGTTGTATGTTTGAAATCTTTTACATTTTAAGCTTTGCACACAGACGCATGAACAAGAGTACCGACAGCAAAAAGTGAATGTTTCACCTTTTTTTCCCCAGTGAGAAATATAAGATTCTGGTAAACTTTCATTAGTTTTGCCAGGAATCCCTGAGGCATTAGTTATTTTCTCAGTCTTGATCGTCTGAATGGGGTGAGAAAATTAATTTAGGTAGAGGGAGAAAGTGAATTCTTGTAATTTTTAATGTGAGTGAAGTGGAGGAAGTATTGGCTAGTCAGGGTACATTGCTTGAAAAATCTTTTTATTTAACTGAAAATGTAAACTTTTATTTTGACAAAAACAATTAAAAAATGATCAAAGCTGTAAAAATAAGAAATTGTACATTGGGTTTTAAAATGCTTAAAACCCAGTGCAAATATTTTTTTTGTCAATCTTGCTGATTGAAGGACCAACTGCCCTGCTTTCATACAGCTAATTCAAATTGATTGGTGATTAATAAGCTTCCGGTGAAACTGATGACCTGCTAAGGAGGTCAATCATTCATTTGCATCAGATTTGTAGGAGCAAATAATATTTAAAACATGCAGCTGGGGAACAAGCTTTATGGACCAGGTTTGAAGAAAAATATATTATTTATAAAGAAATGGATGATTTTACTCATCTTTTAAACTCCTTTTGCTTGAAGTGCATCAAAATTCACATTCCAAAAATGTCACAATAACTGTTGGAAAACAACAGAATTTATGCTGTTTATTGCTGAATACCTTTTGAGATGTCCACCATAAGTGTGAACATATAGTTTGTCTAATGTTGATGCTTAGTAGCTTGTTGCAAAGCAATCCTAAGAAAAATTTAGTGTGTTATAATAAGTTCTCAGAGAGGGCAGCCATGCTGTATTTAATCACATCCTTACCCTATGATATTTTCACATCTACTACTTATTCTGTCTCTCTCTCACACACACACACACACACACAGACACAGACACACAGACAGACAGACGTGTGACACACGTTGTGGTGACTGGTGTTGCCAGCGAAGGGAAGCGGTGGTTTACACTGGTATTAATTGGGTCTCTAGAGGGAGGAGCGCCAGGATGGGCTGTCTGCGCGAAAGCAAACATTATCATTATTTCTGCTGTTTATAAAAGTCCTCCATATGGTCAATAGCAAGGGAGAAGACTAAGTAGGTTTGCATTAAGTTTAGAGAAGTGTCAGTTTCTTTGGAGATTTCATCATCTCATTTAGGTTTCAAAGATGGATATATTCAGCTCAGCTCTTCTAATGAAAGTCTACAAGCCAAAACAAGAGTGTCTGTCTGGTGTTGGCTGAAACAGTTGCATGTCTTCATAATTAATGTCTCCTCACATGTCACTAATGCATTTGGCAAGAAGACAGGATGACATAACGCCATGCAAGATTTGTAGGCAGCCTGCACAAGTCTCAAAGATGGAGCAATTTCTTTTAGGTATTTTTCAGGTCTTGGTAATGATGGGAAAGGAAAACATACCTTATTATGCACACACCAACAATAATCCACCCTTATAGCCTTCATTTATCCAAGTAGGATGGAAAAACCTCTTACTGCATTACCAGGTTGCTAAAAACTTGATTGGTTTTAATGGTGTAAATGAATATCACTGACAAATTTTATGACCAGCTCTTATTTTGTTTAATTTTTGAATAGACATGTCATTTACAGATTTACAACTCAGAGAACATTCATGTAAACTGACAGGATTCAGTTGCTATTATAATTAATAATATGCAATCTTCCACTCAGTTTTAACTTAATGTTGTTTTTTAAAATCTAATCTAATCAAGTGATCTAACCTGATAAGCCTTAGCAAAGTAAAATCAGATGTAAAAAAACAAACCGCAACTAATTTAATCTAAATAATTAGTTTGTGTCTTCTGAACACAGTTGGAGGGTGATTGTGACTACACAAAATTACAAAATATAAATCTTGGTTTAGGGTACTTACTGTTTTGCAGACGCTAGCAAATGTATTTATCATTGAACGTGAACTTCAAACACTCACTCTTCTGAATTCAGTCCCTGTTTTCCTTTTCTGTTTTTTACCTGCCAGTTGGCTTGATGCTAGCTGACTAGCTGTGGTCCAGGGAAGTATTACGTCACTCATTTTCCAGCACTTGATTGGAGTTCTCGTTGTCGAGCGAAGCCATTTCCTCTTTTTAAAAGTAGATCCATTTCTCAGAGTGCTTCCTGGATCTTTGGCTTTTGCATAAGAGACATTGAGGGATGTTTTGTGTATGTGCAGATTTTCTATTTTGAAGCTTTACAAGCTCAGCAGAATACAGTTTACAGTATGCATGAGACGGATGACTTTCAGTTGAATACCTTTACATAAGACACTGTAAAGTAGAGCAGGGTGGATGAGTGCCAGACAACACGGCCCGAGAGGTTGTGAGGGGATCTAAAGCAAAAAGGTAGACGGAAAAAAACAACAAAAAAACAGAAAGAAACAAGATCAGATTTATAGGCACCTTTCCAACAGAGCCATCCAGTTGTTACCCATACCAGGACATAAATCGTGAGAGCAATGAGGAATAACTCAGGTTTCCCTCTTCTGTGCAGTGACTGGTGAAACAGTGTCTGATGGGAAGTGCTCTGCTCGTCCTGTTGCTCCTCACCTCTTTACTGTCACTCATGTCCTCTCTGTTCTCTTTCTTCCCTCTGTTGTGTTTTTCTGCCTGCCTCCTCCTCTTTATTCCTTTGACTCTGCATCACTCTTGGCTGTTCTGCTCCGCTGAGCTGATGCCATTCAGAGGGCAAATGCCACAGAGAGAGCGATGTTTTGTCACTCTGCTCCTCACTTCTTTTCCCCATGCTTGAACAGCCCTGCTCCTGATTTCGAGAACTGCTGCTGGACTCCTTTCTTCAGTCACGGATTTTACTCCAAAGGTTTATGGGCTTAAGTGAGATGTATAAATGGGGCAGCTGTATAGCCTGTATCTTACTTTGCCTTTTCTTACTTTTGAAAGGGTTGCATTATTATTCTTCCGTGGTTGCGTCTTTAGGAAACCTCTCCATATAGCCCTCCTATAGTTTTTCTAGATTCCCAGAGTCTTTCGATTTTGTCCGTCTTTACATGTTCCTACCAGCCTACTTTATTTTTACGGTTCTCATCTTTTAAACTTTATTGTATTGAGGTGTGAAGAAGTGTTAACATCTTTAAAGATTTTGATATATATTTTTAATGTTTTATATCACAAACAACAATTTAAATATCAGATGAAGAAGACCAGATTTTAAAATTATCCAAGTGTGAAAAATGTGCAACAAAAGAAAATACTTTCGAGGGGGCAAATATTTTTTTACAGCTTGGTATGGGATGCTTTTTATGGCTGCTTGAGTTGTTGGATAAAATAATTGTGCTTCTTCCTGGTTCTTTGCAGCATGAGCAGGAATGTTAGGTGCGTGTGCTCCTGGGCATATATGCAAATGATGGTAAATATGCAAATATGGGTCCTAATTTTGATGTTAATTACTCTGCACTGATAATTATAATATGTGTGATGAGGCGTAAGGTGGAGGAGACGACTGAACCGAAGGGCTATGTGAGGTGATATCGGTGTTTGCTGTGTGTTTGTTTCTCCATCTGGGAGAGAGATGTTTGTTTTTAGGGCAGTGCGTGTGTGTGCGTGTTCGTGTGTGTGTGTGCGTGTTCGTGTGTGTGTGTGTGTGTGTGTGTGCGTGTTCGTGTGTGTGCCAGGACTACAGCAGCTGGTCTAAGAGCCCCAGTGGGCCTTTCTGGTCAACACTGCTCAATATGTGGTGGGTAAACACTGCATGCAGAGCTGACTTCAGAGGGACAGCCTCATGGGCTCTTCTTATCTCACTCAGGCCAAAAAAAATAAAAAATAATTCACAAATGCAGACACTCATGTACTTCTAAATTACTGAAGTGAAGACACTATCCACTGCATACTTAAATATTTACACACATTGATTGACTGTAATGTTGCTCGGAAGATGTAAAATGGACAAGAATCCTGTATTTTAATATATCGGCACAAAGATGTCCTAAAATAAACATTTTTAATCTTCTTTGATAACAAAAATAATAAGACACCCAAAGAAAATCTCTTTCCCATCAGATTAGTGTTTTTATTTATGTCACTGTTTTAGTTTTTTTCTGTCAAATAAGTTTAACTACCAACTGTATGTCAAGAAGCTGGATTAAAGAGTAAAAACATTGTTATGCAGATTAAGTATTTTTATATTGATACCCATTAAGTAAAAGCTTAACATTCAGAGTTTTGATGTAATGAACATTCACTAACGAACCTCGTAATGATTTTATGAGGTAAACTATTTTATTGAAGAAAGGAAAAAAGATGGAGCTTTCTAAATTTAAATCTGCAAAAGTTGTAAATGACTTTTGCAGATTTATTTATTATTACTAAATAATAAAATCCAGCTGAAGACCTG